CTGCCGGGTATGAGCGAGACCGTAGGCATGCGTTCGCACGCGAAAGATCAACGACATGATGTAACGCAGTGCGGAAGGTACACCTGTTCCCGACCTCGGCGCGAGACACGAGGGCCAACCGAAGATGACAGGGCGTGTACCAGTAAGCAACTAAGTGGCATAACAAAGAGCAGCTCTCCAGGATACCCTGGCGGACCAGAAAGCGTGGAAATAGCGCTCTGAGAAAGCTGCGCTGACGCATACCCGCTGCAGCACAAGCAACCGTCCGTAGTCACGAAGAAGCCCAGGAAGTGACCGCTCAACAAGGTTGAGCGAGGGAGCCACGATGGGGTGACGTCAGCGTGCACGGATCCTTGCGGCGAGCGGTGCACCACTAGCCACAGGTGCGGGCACGGCCTGGGCCAGCCGCTGCCAAACTGTGGCAAGTCATGCACGGGAGCACACCTGCGACCCAGAGTCCGAGCACGGCCGCAGCGACCTCCGGGCGGGCACTCCAGCCAACGAAGCGGGGCGTACCTCAACCACGGAGACCGCCTGAGCAACGTAGAGACCCTCTGACGAAAAGCCCAAGCCCAGGGTCGCTCCCAGGGAAGGCGGAGAGGCGCGGCTGAAGGCCGAAGTATATTGGGGAAACCCAGGGATAAGGCTGCCCGCTGGAGGGCCGGGTCACGGCCACACCAGGAGAAGCCAGAGTGAATTAGGGTGCGGTTCTGGACAGTGACGAGGCGAAGCCATCTTTGCGTCGGTCACAGAGCCGCGAGGCCGGGGGACGAAGTCCGCCAGGGCCAGAGGTGAAAACAACTACAGCGGGGCCAGGGGCCAACTATGGCCTGCACGCAACACGCCCCAGCGCTGCCATGCAGACGGTATTGCTGGTAAACACACTTGGGTCCAAAGGCAGGAAGTGCGTGTACCAGGGAGGGCGGCAGAAGGCCGCCACACGAGTAACGTAACCCAGGGAGGCAGCTGAAGGCTGCACAGAGTGTGGAAAACGGACGCTGCCCCTGAAACTTAGGTGACGACCTTCCACTGTTTCTGGTCCTTCCTGGGCGCGCGGCGATCAGCGTGGCCCTTCGCCGCCTGGCGCCCCCTGCCCGCGCCGTCACTTCCACCCAGGTACTGAAGCCGCAGCTGCGCCCAGTCAACGCCGAGGTCCAGCGCGTCGCCTATGGCCCGCACGTCGCAGTTATGGCTGCGGAAGGAGGACAGGAAATTGACGCACGTTCGCTGGTCGTGCCGCCGCGGGTCGAGCGCGCCTTTGCTGCCAGGCATGGCGCGCTGCTGGGCGAACGCGTGCCAGGCGCCTGTGAACCTCGCTCCCAGGGTGACCTGAAGCCGCTTTATCGTCTCGCCAGGTGTCTCCCCGGGGGGGTCCCACTGGATGCCGCCGATCTTAGCTTTATATAGCTGCTGCCCCGTGTCTGGGTCTAAAGGTTCTGGACAGTGACGCGCGGCGGGACCCGCTGCCAGGGGCGGGGTGGTCAGCGGCTGGTCCTCGGCGCGGCGCCTGCTGCTGCTTCAGCGGCTGCTGCTGCTGCGTCCGCCGCCTGCCGTCAGCCGCCCACCAGACCCGCCAGCGCGGTCGGCGTCGCTACGGGCCAGGTTTGGGCCCGGGGGCGGCGGGGAGGCTGGAGGGTCGCCAGTCACAGAGGCTAGGCGGGGCGTCCACCCGCTGCCACGAGGCCGCGCTGGGGGAACGTTCCGGCCGCGCTGCCGTCGTTCCTCGGCGCTCGAGCTCGCGCCATTGCCAGGGAGGGAGGGGCCAGGGCAAGTAGTGTCAGCCAGGGGAGTGCGGCGGTGGGTGGTGGCCTGTTCCTGTTCTTGCCCATGCCCCCATTCCTGCGCTGGCGCTACTTCCGCGCCCTCCCCGCGGGCGGCCGGCAGCTCCTGCTCATCCGGCTCTTCCGGCTCCTGCTCCGCATGCTGCTCACGTTCGCTGCTCTGAGACTGTTCCGACTGGTTGGGCCCGCCGCCGGAATCGTCTATGGCTTCGCGGGGCGCGGCGGCTACTGGGGCACGGAAGCCTGGCGGGGACTTGCGGGTTGGCGCGGGCCGCGCGGTTGGCCGCCAGGTAAAGGCCGAGTCGCCTCCAGCAGCTGGGGCGGAGAGGAACGCTGCACTGTGGTAAGCGGGGGCAGGCCCCTCCCGTTGGCGCTCGCCTTCAGACCCGCGCTCGCCCTCGTCCACGAGCGCGCCCCCATCTGTCGCAGCGTGACTTTCGCCATGTGTGGGAGTGCTGCGGGTCGCACCTGGCCCAGGCACGTTGTCAGACACCGTTTCTTTCGCCAGGACGGGAGTCGCCTTCCTCAGCGTGGACCGGCCTTCGGGAGGGAGTGGCTGCGGTTCGCTGTCCGTTCGGGCGGATTCGCCGACAGGGGAGCGAGGGCGAATTGGCGCGAAGGGACTTCTCTCGACAAGCTGGCGGATGGCCTCGACGTCCTGCCTCTGCAAGGCATGTTCGTGGTTCCCCAGCGAGGGGTCTTCGAGAGTGCCAGGGGCGGCGGCGGGCGGAGTCGCAGCGGGGCGTTGTTGGGTCTCGCCGCCAACCAGATGCATCGACAGCCCCAGGCTTTGCAAGTAATGGGCTCCGCATCGGCCGTCGGCCACGGGGATGGCCTCGGAGGCACTGGCTGGAGGGTCTGCGCCGATCGCAAACACGCGCCCGTCTGTGGCCCGCACGCACCTCCAGGAGTCAAGCGAAAATCCAATCGTGAGCGCCCGGGGCCGCTGTCAGTCACACTTTCGCGCACTCCCACGACGCGAGAACTGTAACAACTGACAGCCGCGTTTGGATTTACGACCTCCTGGCTGTCTGTTGCGCGCGGAATGCATCCGATTTCCGCAGCGCCGTCCGCTGCATTCCGAACTGTCGTCGCGATGCTGTTGCCAAGAGAGCGCGCCCTTTCGGGCGCATATTCGGCGTCCGCCCAGACTCTGCTCCCAGGGCGCTGGCAGGAATGAGGGGACGCAATTTCGGCCGCATCTTCCGCCTCAACAACGAGACCGCCCCCGGGACGCTGATAGGAGTGAGGGGTTATAGGAACGCCTGCTTGGTCATTTCTTGGAGGGGAAGGCACCGGCGCGCTGTGGCTGACGACCACCTGTTCGGGCCGTAGCACTCCCAGGGGACAACTGCAGCTGAAGGCCGCACGTTCCAGCGTGAACTCCTGGCCCTCGATGTTGCGAGGAGGCTCGAGATATCCCTCACCATCCGCTCGGGGAGGCGTCGTGGACCTCTTCTCGGGAGGAGGCTGGTCTCCGACCGCGGGCGCTCCCTCGGCAGCACTCCCACCTGTCGCCACGATACTGTTGCCAGGGGGGAGCAATGGGATATGACGTGGTGGCCGACAGCCCCGGCGACTGGCAGTGCGACAGCTTGAGCTCGTGCCACAACAGCTTGAGCCACAACCGCTTGAGCCTTAACAACGAGGCCGCCCCCGGAACGCTGATAGGAGTGAGGGGCTGTGAGAAAGCCTGCTCGGTTGTCTCCTGGGCGGGAAGGCACCGGCGCGCTGTGGCTGACGACCACCTGTTCGGTTTGTAGCTCTCCCAGGGGACTACTGCAGCTGAAGGCCGCACGTTCCAGCGTGAACTCCTGACTCTCTATGCTGCGAGGAGGCTCGAGATATCCTCCATCATCCGCTCGGGGAGGCGTCGTGGACCTCCTTTCGGGAGCAGGCCGGTCTCCGAGCGCGGGCGCGCCCTCTGCGGCATTCCCGACTGTCGCCACGATACTGTTGCCAGGGGGGCACGCAATTTCGGCCGCATCTTCCGAGACCGCCCCCGGGACGCTGATAGGAGTGAGGGGTTGTAGGAGCGCCTGCTTGGTCATTCCGTGGAGGGGAAGGCACCGGCGCGCTGTGGCTGACGACCACCTGTTCGGGCCGTAGCACTCCCAGGGGACTAGTGCAGCTGAAGGCCGCACGTTCCAGCGTGAACTCCTGACCCTCGATGTTGCGACGAGGCTCGAGATGTCCTCCACCATCCGCTCGGGGAGGCGTCGTGGACCTCTTGTCGGGAGGGAGCTGGTCTCCGACCGCGGGCGCCCCCTCAGCAGCACTCCCACCTGTCGCCACGATACTGTTGCCAGGGGGGGAGCAATGGGATATGCGGCAGTGGCCGACAGCCCCGGCGACTGGCTATGTGATAGCTTGAGCTCGCGCCGCAACAGCTTGAGCCCCAACCACATGAGCCTCAACAGATACGCCTTGGAGTCTCGAGCAGAAGGCTCGCCCCGCCTGTGACTCCCGAGCTGAAGGCTCGCCCCTTCTGAAGCTGTGAGATACGCCTTGGAGACTCGAGCTGAAGGCTCGTCCCTCCTGTGATTCCCGAGCTGAAGGCTCGTCCCGTCTGTGACTGTCAGCTTGGGGGGCGGGCGAGGGACGGGAGTCCGCGGGGCGAAAGGGATGCCCAGGGAGCTGATTGGCAGCCGCGCCGCCGTCAACGTCCGTCTGCCCATTTAAAGACTCCCGGGCTACAGGCCCCTCCACTCTCGCTGCTTCGCACGGCGCTCCCCGGACTGAAGGCCCGTCTTCTGCGTGCACAACCTGGTCGCGCCCGGGGGAGGCGGCGGGCGGAAGGCGGGGGCCGTTTCGACGTAGGCCCAGGTCAGCTGGAGGGGTCGGTTGCGCGACCAGGACGGAGGCCTCCACGGTCAAGGGATCGACCCCCTCGCAGCTGAAGGCTGCTCCTCTCTGTCTTGGCGCGCCCAAGGGAGGGTGGTCGGCGGAGTGCGGGCGTGAGCCACTGGGATGTGGATCGGGGACGCGGGCGGACTGCGTTCGGTCCACCCACCCATCATCACCGCTGCCACCCCACTGGGCAGCCTCAAGCACAGGCCATCCACCCTCGTTGGACAAGCTCCTGGGCCGATCTTCGAGAAGGCCGCCGTCACTCATGGCCACAGTCTCTGCGGCGCTCTCGGCGTCCATGGGCATCGCCTCTGGTTCTCGAGCTGAAGGCTCGCCCCTTCTGAAGCTGCGAGATACGTCTTGGAGAGCCTGTGACTCCCGAGCTGAAGGTTCGCCCCTTCTGAAGCTGCGAGATACGCCTTGGAGACTCGAGCTGGAGGCTTGTCCCTCCTGCGATTCCCGAGCTGAAGGCTCGTCCCGTCTGCGACTGTCAGCTCGGGGGGCGGGTGAGGGACGGGAGTCCGCGGGATTAAAGGGATGCCCAGGGAGCTGATTGGCAGCCGCGCCGCCGTCAACGTCCATCTGCCCATTTAAAGACCCCCGGGCTACAGGCCCCTTCCACTCTCGCTGCTTCGCACGGCGCTCCCCGGACTGAAGGCCCGTCTTCTGCGTGCACAACCTGGTCGCGCCCGGGGGAGGCGGCGGGCGGAAGGCGGGAGCCGTTTTGACACAGGCTCCGGTCAGCTGGATGGGTCGGTTGCGCGACCAGGACGGAGGCCTCCACGGTCAAGGGATCGACCCCCTCGCAGCTGAAGGCTGCTCCTCTCTGTCTTGACGCGTCCAAGGGAGGGTGGTCGGCGGAGTGCGGGCGTGAGCCAATGGGATGTGGATCGGGGACGTGGGCGGACTGCGCTCGGCCCACCCACCCATCGTCACCGTTGCCACCCCACTGCGCAGCCTCAAGCACAGGCCTTCCGCCCTCGTTGGACAGGCTCCTGGGCCGATCTTCGAGAATGCCGCCGTCACTCATGACCGCAGTCTCTGCGGCGCTCTCGGCGTCCGCGGGCATCGTCTCTGGTTCTCGAGCTGAAGGCTCGTCCCTTCTGGAGCTGTGAGATACGCCTTGGGGGCTCGAGCTGAAGGCTCGTCCCGCCTGTGACTCCCGAGCTGAAGGCTCGTCCCGTCTGCGACTGTCAACAATTTCCTCTTCCAACCCCCTATCGTCGTCGTGGTCGTGCTCGTGCTCGTGGTCGTGGTCGTGGTCGTCGTCGTCGTCGTCGAGGCGACGGCGTCCGTGGAGGTCGTCGTCGGCGGCGTCGGCGTCGTGGTGGTCAGGCTCGTCTCTTCTGAAGCTGTGAGATACGCCTTGGAGACTCGAGCTGGAGGCTCGTCCCTCCTGTGATTCCCGAACTCAGGGCTCGTCCCGTCTGCGACTGTCAGCTTGGGGGGCGGGCGAGGGACGGGAGCCCGCGGAATTAAGGGGACGCCCAGGGAGCTGATTGGCAGCCGTGCTGCCGTCAACGTCCATCTGCCCATTTAAGGACTCCCGGGCTACAGGCTCCTCAAGGATCCACCCTCGCTGCTTTGCACGGCGCTCCCCGGGCTGAAGGCCCGTCTTCTGCGTGTACAACCTGGTCGCGCCCGGGGGAGGCGGCGGGCGGAAGGCGGGGGCCGTTTTGACGTAGGCTCAGGTCAGCTGGAGGGGTCGGTTGCGCGACCAGGACGGAGGCCTCCACGGTCAAGGGATCGACCCCCTCGCAGCTGAAGGCTGCTCCTCTCTGTCTTGACGCGTCCAAGGGAGGGCGGTCGGCGGAGTGTGGGCGTGAGCCAATGGGATGTGGATCGGGGGCGTGGGCGGACTGCGTTCGGTCCACCCGCTCATCATCACCGCTGCCACCCCACTGGGCAGCCTCAAGCACAGGCCCTCCGCCCTCGTTGGACACGCTCCTGGGCCGATCTTCGAGAATGCCGCCGTCCCTCATGACCACAGTCTCTGCGGCGCTCTCGGCGTCCATGGGCATCGTCTCTGGTTCTCGAGCTGAAGGCTCGTCCCTTCTGAAGCTGTGAGATACGCCTTGGAGACTCGAGCTGAAGGCTCGTCCCGCCTGTGACTCCCGAGCTGAAGGCTCGTCCCGTCTGCGACTGTCAACAATTTCCTCTTCCAACCCCCTATCGTCGTCGTGGTCGTGGTCGTGCTCGTGGTCGTGGTCGTCGTCGTCGTCGCCGCGGCGACGGCGTCCGTGGAGATCGTCGTCGGCGGCGTCGGCGTCGTGGTGGTCGTGGTCGTAGCCGTCGTCGGTGTAGTCGTCGAGGTGACGGCGCCTCCTGAAGGCCTGAGGATGCAGTAGGTGATGATGTTGGGCTCCAGCTGCACGTTCGCCATCACGCTCAGCAGTGCCACAGTCTGCAACCACTGCCGACGACTGCTTTTCTCGCACGCGCCGTTCACGGTGTCGTGCGTGTTGATGTTGGGCTCCAGCTTCACGGCCACAATCTCTCCCAGCAGCGCCACCACCTGCTGCCACAGCTGGAACCTGTTCTTCTCGCAAACGCTCTCCACAGTGCTGTTGGTGATGATGTTGGGCTCCAGCTGCATGTCCACCATCTCGCTCAGCAGCGCCATTGCCTGCTGTCACTGCCAACGCCCGCCCTTCTCGCACCAGCTGTTCTGGATGTGGTAGGTGATGATGTTGGGCTTCAGCTGCAGGAGCGCCATCTCGCTCAGCAGCGCCGCGGACTGCAACCACTGCCGACGACTGCTCTTCTCGCACGCGCTGTTCACAGTGCCGTAGGTGATGATGTTGGGCTCCCGCTGCACGTCTGCCATCACGCTCAGCAGCGACACAATCTGCAACCACTGCCGACGACTGCTCTTTTCGTACGCGCCGTTCACAGTGACGTACGTGTTGATGTAGGGTTCCACCGGCGGCGGCGGCGGCGTCCGCGACGAGGCGAGACGCGGCGGCCAGGGCCGCCGAAAAGGCGGCGGCCGCCGCCGCCGGCGGAGCGGCGGGAGACAAGGCCGCAACGGCAACGGCCACGGCTGCGTCAGCGGCCGCCGACGCGGCACGACGCGGCACGGCCGAGGGCCGAGGCCGCGGCGCTGCCGGCGGCGCCAGCGGCGCGAGCCGCGGCGCTGGCGGCGCGCGCGGCGGCCGCCGAGGCGTCGGGGGGGCCAGCGGCGGCGGCCGTGGCCCCGAGAGGGCCGGCGGCCGCGCCCGCGGCATCCAGAGGGCCGACGGCAGCAGCCCAGGCGCCGAAGGGGCGGGCGGCACCGCGGGCGCGGGCCACAGCAGCATTGCGCTGCCGCCGCCGCCGCGCCGAGACGGACTCCATCGCCCGCGGCGAGGGGCCCCGGGAGGGGGAGGCCCGAAGGGGTGACCCCTCCCGGCGCCCCGCAAGCGGCCCGCCGGTCGGGCGGCCGCCGGCCCGCGGGCGCAGCAAGCCAGCTAGGCTCCCTGGAGCCAGGGCTTGAGCCAAAAGCTACGGAGGCTGGTGGGGATACGCGAATCGTCTAGAATTCCTTCCAAAACCTTCATCGCCAACGCGAAGACGCCGTCACCGTCGTCGGCGCGATCGGCATCGGCGCCGTCACTGGCCGCGCCGTCGTCGCTGTCACCATCGTCGGCAACATCGCTATCGTCATCGCCGTGTGTACCGTCGTCGACTTTGCCGCGATACCGCACCCGCCGCAATCGCCGACTCGCACTCAAAGGCCGCCGGCATGCGCCGAGCGGTCAGCACCGCCGCGGTCGCGTCAATCGCGACAAACTACATGGCCGCTGCGCGCGCATGCGCGGGCTGGCGCGGCCGCAGAGATGCGCCAACCAGCGACAAACGTTCATCGCAATCACCGCCGCATGACGTTGGCAAACCAAGTTGCGGGCGGCTGGGTGGGACGTTTGCGCGAGCAATGGAATGGGCAACTCACTGCGGGCAGAAATTAATTCTCCTCTCTAAAAGAAAGATAGGCGCCCCCCCCCCCCCCCCGAAGTTAACGGGTCACCTTTTCGCATTGCAATTTGCATCTGATTCTGCCCCATCATCCATCCTAACTGTGAGTACATACAATCCCAGCCAAACCGGCATCGCCCCCCCCCGCCATCCTCTGCAACAGATTTTGTGCGCGCGCACTCGTTCATCAAAAATCATACGGTTTCAAGAATCCCTGACAAAAAACAGTTCAAGTGCACGCGCGCGCGTCGTCGCGCGCGCATGCCGGAATCCTTCAAGAACCCTCGTTTTTTCGGATGGATCTCAAAATCTAGTTCCAAAAGAACATACAACAACACAGGGTTTCGCAACATTGGTTTTCTTCAAAAGGTTACACGCGCGCCCTTGCGAAATCTTACAAAAACCTGGGTGTTATTCAACCTTTTCAACCACTACTACCAAACGGGCTTCGCGCGCGCGCATGTCGAAATCTTTCGAACGCACTTGCGCGCGTGCCGTCGCGAGAATCCTCTGCAACAAATTTGACGACGAAGTGCAGGCGCGCGCGTCGTCGCGCGCGCGTGCCGAAGGATGTCAAAATCATGTGCCCCCCAAAACAACATACAAAAACACAAGGTGTCGCAATGCGGATTTTCAACAAAAGCACGCGCGCGCGCTCATGCGTCGTCGTCGTCGTCGCCGTCCTCCCTCCTCCGTCGTTGTCGTCGTCGTCGTCGTCGTCCTTTGTCGTGCCCCGTCGTCGTCGTCCTCGTCGTCTTGGCGTCGTCGTCGTTTCCGTCGTCGTTGTCGCCGTGGTCGTCCTTCCTCCCTCGTCGGCTTCGTCGGCGTTTCGTCGTTCTCCCTCCTATTTCGTCGCCGTCGTCGTCGTCGTCGCCGTCCTTCCTCCCTAGTCGTTGTCGTCGTTGCCGTCGTCGTCCTCCCCCCTCCCTCGTCGTCGTCTTCGTCGTCTTCGTCGTCGCCGTCGTCGTCGTCGCCGTCGTCGTCGCCGTCGTCGTCGTCGCCGTCGTCGTCGTCGTCGGCGTCGTCGTCGTCGGCGGCGTCGTCGTCGTCGGCGTTGTCATCGTCGTCGTCGTCGTCGGCGTCGTCGTCGTCGGTGTCGTCGTTGTCGTCGTTGTCGTCGTCGTCGTCGAAATCGTTTGAGACTCGCCCGCAACGTCTACCGTGGTCGACGTTGCCATGATACCGCGCCCGCCCAAGTCGCCGACTCGCAGTGAAGTGCCCGCTGGGATGTGCCCAGCGGCCAGCGCCGCCGCGGTCGCGTCGGTCGCGCCAAACTAGCCCGCCGCTGCGCGCGCGAGCATGCGCGGGCTAGCGCGGCCGCAGAGACGCACCAGCCAAAACCCAGCACTCATCGCAATCGATCCCGCGCTGGCTTTGCAAACCAAGTTGCGGGGGGGCGGGTGGAATGATTGCGCGAATCGTGGAGTTGGCAACTTCCAGCTCGCCAAATGAATTCTTCTTTCTCGAAAGGAAATAGGTTATACCACCGCCCCACCCACGGGGTTGCAGATTCACCTGTCCCGCATTGCAATTACATACGATTCTGCCCCATCGCCCATCCTAAATATGATTTGCGCCATCCCAGGGGGGCCGGCATCGCCACCCGCCATCCTCGACAAAAAACCACTATGCGCGCGCACTCGTTCCTCAACAATCAACAAGTTTCAAAAATCCCTGTGCACAAAAAGAAACGAAGTGCACGCGCGCGCGTCGTCGCGCACGCCGAAAGCCCTCAAAAACCGTTACCGGCGGGACAATTTCAAAATCGAGTGCCCTAAACACATATAACAAAAACATGGTTTCGCGACGCGGGCTTTCAAAACAAACGCGCGCGCGCTCTTCCGAATTCTTTAAACAAATCATTCGTTGTTTTCAACATCTTCAGAAAGTACTACCAGACGGGCTTCGCGCGCGCATGTCGAAATCGCTCGAGCGCCGTCGCGCGCGTGCCGTCGCGAGAACCCTGTTCAAAAAAACGAAACGAAAACACGGGGGGGTGTCGTCGCGCGCGCATGCCGGAACCCTTCGCAAACTTTCGGCCCCGTTTCCAAAGCCGAATGTCCAACATACGCTCAAAAACACATGGCTTCGCAACATCAGTTTAAGAAAAAGCTTGCGCGCGCGTTCTTGCGAACTCTGAAGAAAACACCATAGCGAACCCGTAAGAAAAGCATCGTGTGTCAAAATATTCATGGAATTCTGCAAACGGGCCTTCTGGCGCCGCATGCCGACATCATTCGCGCGCCCTTGCGCGCGCACTGGGGGTGGCACGATCCGTGTCAAACAAAACCATGCGGGCCACTTTCGCGCGTCGGCCGCGCACGCATGTCGAACTCTTTCCAAGACCTCCATCACCGACGCGAGGGCGCCGCCATCGTCATCGGTGTGGACAGCATCGGCGCCCGCGCTGGCCGCGCCTTCGTCGGTGCGAACATCGTCATGTACATCGCCACTATCATCACCGCGTCTACAGTAGTCGGCGCTGCCATGATTAGGGAGCCCACAAAGGACGTACGCGCCCAGCTATGTACATGAACACGGCCCCTCGATTCGCGAGACCGGCCGCGTTATACGAACATTTGTGCAATGCGCGCTCTCGAAACCAGCGTGGGTTCATGTACATGTACGTCCTTCTTTCGCTCCTGAATGATACCGCGCCCGCCCAAGTCGCCGACACTACATCGGTTACATCGCATACATTACACCACATAGATTGCACCGCATAAAATGTTTGGGGGCCATGCTGGCTAACATCTGTTTGCCGATCTCTACCACTATCGAAAATGTCCCACTTTCCACGAACACTATGGATCTATATATGTTTATATATATATATATATCTCATGGGCCAACCATCGAGACAACTATCGGGACACAGTGTGGGCACCATGTGGACAGCATCGAGACACCATCGGGGCACCATGGGGACACCATGTGGACACTATCAGGACACCATGTTGACACCATCGGGGCACTATTGCGACACAGTCGAAACACTATGTGGGCACCATCGGCACACCATCCGAGCACCATGGAAACATCACCAGGACACATCGGAACAGCAGCCGGACACCGTCGTGGTCCGTCCGTCCACTGTTCGCCAATCGATCTCACTATTGGCCTCGATGTAGGTACCACCATCGGTCGCACTATCGCTCTCACTTTCTGTTTGCCGATAGCACAACTTGTCTCACGATCGGTTTCACTATCGATTCCGCTATCGATCCAACTATCGATCCCACTATCTGTTCATTGATCCCAATATCGGTCTGACTGCCGATCTACCCGTCTCACGATCGACCGCGCTATCTCTCTGTCGATCTCAATATCTGGTTACCGATCTTTACAACTATCGATCGGTCCCACGATCAATGAACACTATCTGTCTAACTATCGATCACACGGGACAACCATCATGACAATCATCGAGACATCATGTGGACACCATGTGTACAACATCAGGACACCATCGGGGCACCATGTGAACACCACGGGGACACCATCGGACCACCATCGGGACACCAGTGTGGTCCATTCGCCCTCTATTTTTCGATCGATCTCACGATCGGCGTCAATGTAGGTCTCTAAATCGATCTCACGATCTGCTTATCGATATCACCATCGGTCTCACTATTGATCTCGCGATCGGTTCTGTTATCGATCTCACTATTCGTTTCTCGATCCCACTATCGGTCCCACTATCGATCTATCGCCCTCGCGATCGACCGCGCTCTCTCACTATCTGTTTCAATATCTGATGACCGATCAGCATTGGACTGGCCATCCGTCATTGGATCCATCTACCAGGTTGACATGCATTGGACTTACTATCTATCTCGCAGTCGATCCCAGTATCTAGCTATCGATCGGTCGCACGATCAATCGATCTCACGAATATCTATCTATCGATCTCAGGGGACAACCATGGGGATAATCCTTGGGGCGCCATCGGGACACGAGCAGGACACCATGTGGACACCATCGGGACACCATGTGGACACCATCGAGAAAGCATGTGGACACCATCGGGAATGTGGACACCATCGGGACACCATCAGGGCACAATCGGAGCACCATGTGGACACCTTTGGGACACCATCGCGACACCGTCGAAACACCATGTGGACACCATATGGACACCATCGGACCACCATTGGGACACCACCAGGACACCATCGGGGCACTATTGCGACACAATCGAAACACCATGTGGACACCATGTGGACACCATCGAGGCATCATGTGGACGTCATCGGGACACCATCTGGAAACCATCGAGACACAAACTGGACACCATCGGGACACCCCAAAGCAACCTTCAACCAACGGCCGAGCCACCGCCGAGCCACAAAGGGGCAACAGCAACAGTAGCAACATGTTGCCCAATGTCGCTCTGGCAACGGCGAGTACATTCCGCTCGCCCGCCAACGCAACTTCGCCTGGCCCGCCAGCGCGCACGACATGACACCGAAACCCAATTCCCGGTGGGGGTCTCCGTTTCACTTCGACCTCACCCCCCCAACCGTCTGATATATATATATATATATATATATATATATATATATACGCATGTATGTACTCGAACAACGCGCGCGCTTCGCGCGCACTTCTGTTCTAGCTAAGGCGAAGCCAACATCATATCAATCAGCGGATGGGTACGCACGACATCCCACCACGATCACCACATGGGAACACCTGCGCCGTGGGCATACATATCTGAATAGCGTCTCCCCGCCTGTTTTGGCACACCATTCACGCAAGCTGTGCCCTCAAGGAGCTCCACCTACTGCCCCCCCAACCATCCAGGCACACCCTTCTCAGGGAGCTCCACCTACGGCCCCATCGCATAACTGCACTTCGAGTGAAGCTTCGCATAACGTCGCCCCTCTCATACGGACCATGCGATGCAGAGGGTTTCACCTACGGCCCCAGAGACAAGGTTCGCATCCAGCACCCCGCCTACTTCGGCACACCTCTCACACTGATCGTGCCCCACAGGGAGCTCCACTGACGGCCCCAGGGACAAGGTTCGCGTAGCGCCCCCCTAGCCCATTGCGGCACACCCCCGACGCGGAAAGTGCCCCACAAGGAGCGCCACCCACGGCCTCAGAGACAAGGTTTGTAATTAGTCCCTCCGCCCACCTCGGCACACCATTCACGCGAATCGTGCCCAGGAACGAACTCCACCTATGGCATCGATTGGCAACTTCGCATGCCCATTTTGGCACATGCCTCACACGGCCGTGCCCCGCAATGTGATCTCCACCTGCGGCCTCAGTGGGCGGGCTCTCGCGGATTACTCGGCACCCCCTTCACGCGGACCGTGCCCCACACGGAGTTCAGCGCGCCTGTGCACGCTTGCTCCGCAGAAGCCCGCTATCAGCTCAGTCCCGCGGTGCGGAGTACTAAGAGACGGCCCCGCCCTGCGCTACGCGTGACTGCGTAGGGATGGGTCCGTCGCCAGGCCAAGTGTTTGCTCATCGATGGCCTTCGGGCCATACCACCACAGTGCCTGAGTTTTGCGCCAGAGGCTTCCTGGATACACGTAATTCGGGATCTCTAGGCATGCTTCTCGGGCGCCTCGTGGAGCAAGTTTTGAAGCTTCCCAGGGCATTTGTTGTTATCCCCCGCCGAATGCGAAACGGCAAGTCCTGCGCCATCACGATCGGCGGCCTAGAGGGCAAGCGCAACGGTGCGAATTAAAGTCCTACCAGGGATGTCCGAGGTATAAGCGCGAAGCGCGGACGTGTTAAAAATATCGGCGATGGACTTCACCACGCAAGCCGACTATGAAACGTGAAAAGACATCACGTGAAATAGTGTCAGCATGTAAGCTTGACCTTTCCGGCTCGAGGGAAATTGAGCCATTCAAGTCGGCAGCTGGAACCTCTGCTGACTGCTAAATTGCGAGAGAGAGAGAGAGAGAGTGGGATAGACATTCTTCTTTGGTGGAAGAGAGCATTGAAGACTGTAACCCTGGACTAGCAATCGGCATCACGACCCTGATCGTGCCCCATCCTAAGCTGAAACAGGTGCACGCTATCTAGTATACAAAAGCATGTGTCGCAGCCAGGTCGTTGGTGCGGTGACACAATGAATCGGACGGGGCAAGGTGGATCAAAGAAAGAGTGATTGAATGAAGCTTCCCGGGGCATTTTGGAAGCCGTTTGGGGCCCTCTTGGAGCCTGTTTGGGGCCCTTGGAGGCCTCTCGGGGACCTCCTGCAAGCCTCGGGGACCCACCTGTGGCGGAGGGCTCGAAATGTCAGCTCGAAGTCCCCCTCTTGGGCTCGAGACAGAGGGATGCGCGGGGGCTGAGACAAAGCCAGACTGCGAGTTTGATAGTTTCACGTGTGTGCGTGTGTGAAAAACGACCCATGAATTTTGAACTGCTTCCTTGTTTGAAACGTTTGTGAAAACGTGTGCGTTAAATGTTTGTGAAACAATATGTTGTGCGTGTTTTTTTGTTCTTTTGCAAGCCAGACGCACGCAGCTCCCAGTCTACTACCCCTCTTTAATTGGGCGCCCGAGTTATCCGGGGTAACTCGGGTCCGGGGTAACTCGGGTTCGGATTTCCGAAAAAACAAACCCGAGTTAGCCCTGACCCGAGTTACCCCTGATGATGTGGGGCTCTGGACGCCCGAATTATCCGGGGTAACTCGGGTCCGGGGTAACTCGGGTTCGGATTCCCGAAAAACGAACCCGAGTTAGCCCTGACCCGAGTTACCCCTGATGATTCGGGGCTCTGATTTTTGTTCTTTTGCAAGCCAGACGCACGCAGCTCCCAGTCTACCACCCCTCTTTAAGCGAAGCCGGCGCAGCTCGGCCTCCACGGAGGCGGGCAGAAGGGGCCCGGCGCGGGGGTCAGCGGGGCGGGGTCGCGCCAGGAGGGTGCCGCGCTCTTTCGTCGCACGCCACCGCTCCGCTCCCAGGAGGAGGAGGAGGAGAAGGAGGAGGAGGAGGAGGAGGAGGAGGAGGACGAGGAGGAGGAGGAGGAGGAGGAGGACGAGGAGGAGGAGGAGGAGGACGAGGAGGAGGAGGAGGAGGAGGAGGAGGAGGCCGCCGCCCGGTCCGGCATTCCCCCGGACTGGGCGGGCGCTGGGGCGTCGCTTCTTACGCGACGCCCAACCTCTGCGGGGAGGGGGTCGCCCGGGGCTTAATGAGCCGATTGCATGCTAACTGCTGGAACTAATCGCGCGTGCAAGAAATTCTCGGGAAGCGTGTCACCCTCACGGTGTGCTGCTCCTCCTACCGGTGCAGGCGGATCCAAAAGAAGCCAGGACAGTACAGGCGTCGACGACCTGCAGACACGACTTTCTATTTAAACGGGAGCCAGTGTTGACATTGGCTGCCAGAGCGTCACGCCTAGGCCAAAATCTTGCCTTTGAGCTCGGTGTCCGTACTCTTCTGCTCTATAGTATCGTCTACAAGGTAAGCGCCCGCTGCTGCCAGTGCTTCTGCGGCTGCGGCCACGATGAACATTATAGGCAGCGCCTGCGCCAAGTCTATGTTCCCTTCGATGACAGCAAGGGTAAGAGTGCAGAGCTGCTGACCGAAAGTGGAGGCACAGTTGAGGAACGACATATTCAAGGCGATGCTCGAACGCTCCCCCTGCGACTCGTCGCGCTTGCTGAACGCTGCGACGATGCCGAACGGAATGGCGCTCGCGCCCGCGAACGGCAGACCACTGAGATTGGCGCAGAGCAGGGCGAACATGCCATTGTGCTGCACAAAGAACGCGGCCGCCGTGCTCGCCGCGGCTCCGGCGCAGATCAGCGCGGCGTAGATCGTCATCGGGCGCACCTCAGTCCGGCGGAGGATCGAGATCACGACCAAGGATGCCGCCAGCACAAACACCGCCTTGCTCTGCCCCGCGTGGGCAAACTGCCGCAGCCCCGCCGCGTAGGCGTCGTGGCCAGCCGAGCCAGGCGGCGCGTGCGGGTCGCCCTGGTAGACGCAGACGCCGAACCACTGCCCCGCGTACAGGCCCCAGGTGCTGCCTCCTACGGTGAGCAGGCACTGGACTGCCGCCAGGTGGCGGAAGCGGAAGGAGCTGCCCTTCGCGGCCTCGATGACGTCAAGCACCGGGGCCAGCACCCGGCCGCGAACGTCCGTGCTGTGCTGCGCAGCGTGGGCCGCGGGCCTCTCCTCCGCGACGCTGAACTGGACGGCCACGGCAAGCGTGTTGAGCAGGCAGACGAGCACGACCAGCTCCAGCATGTGCTCGGCAGGGACGTCGAAGATGGTCATGATGGAGAAGCCGGTCAATGTTCCGACAGCCTGCATGCACACGATCACGGTTTGCATCGGGACTTGCTGCGCGTCAGAGGAGAGGTCTGCAACCAGCGCGCGATGCGGTGCCTGTAATATGTTGATCGTGACGTCCAACACCCAGAACATGGGAGCGGCCATTAGTGGGGCGGTGCTAGCCGGCAGGACGTGCTCGCTCAGGGTGAAGAGGACGCCCGCCACCCACGTGAGGGCGAGCCCCACCACGATCACAGGCCTGCGCCGCCCATACGGGGAGGTCAACGAATCGGACATAGCACTCACGAGCGGACCCGTGAAGAATCCTGTGATGGGGCCTGCCAGATTGTTCAGCGTGGCTACAGACGTGCTCAGCCCAAGACGCAGCAAGTACGGAGCGCTGCACGGCATCAGGAACACCCAGAACGCCTGAACAGTCAGCATAGGCAAGGCTACCAGGCTCAACTTCCAAAGAGACATCCCTGCTGCAGTATCGGCTGGCCGGCTCTCATCATCGGAATTGTGGTTTACGCGAGCAGCAACTGTGTATGTCATGCTAACACCAGTGGCACGCCAACGCCCAGCGCGTGACTGGGGCGCCAGAGCAACTCACACGGTACCCCACGCAGCTCGAGCCAGAGCAACGGAGACCTCACTCCGTCCTCCGTCCTCCGTCCTCCTATCAACCTCACTATCGATCTCACTATCGACCTCACTCTACCGATCCCGCCTTTATCGATATGACTCGGTCGATCTCACCCTAGCGATCTCATTTGATCGATCTTACTCGAACGATCGGATCCTATCGCTCTCGCCATCGATCTCACCATCGATCTCACTATCGGTCTCACCCTATATCACTATCGACCTCGGCACTGGTGAAGAACAAATGCCAATCGATCTCACTATGGACCCCACTCGATCGACCTCTTTCGCTCGGTCTCATTATCGGCCCCACTATACATCGATTCGACCTCACTCGGTCGATCTCGCTCCCTAACCGCAGACAGAATCTCGCCGCGAGCGCCTCGGGGCCAAATGATCGGGCCCTCTATGGATCCCACTGGCGCACATCTGGACACGATCGGGCCACAATGAGACCATGGAAACACCATCGGAAACACGCCATCGAGGGCACCATCGAAAAACCACCAGGACACCGAAGGGACACCACTCGGGACACCGAAATGACACCGACAGGACACCAACGGGAAACCAACTGGACACCGCCAGGACATCCACGGGACACCGACGGCACACCGATGCGACACCGACGGGACACCGATGGAGCACCGATGGGATACCTCGGGCCACCGCCGCGGACACCGACGGGACACCGACGGGACACCACGGCGGGACACCACGGCGGGACACCCCCCGCCACGCCGGCCCACCAGAGGGGCGGTCTTTTGCCTTGCCCCGCCCTCGCCACGGCGGGGCCATTCCTCTCGCCCACCTGCGCAGCTGCGCCTCGCCCATACGCACGGCACGAGCCCGAACCCGAAACCGATTTCCTGGCGGGGGGCTCTCCGTTCCACTTCGATCTCAACCCGCAAGCTCCGACAATGCGGTGCATTCGCATCTGACTGCCTAACATTTGGAGAACCCCTTATCGAATGGCACAATGCCGGACACTTGCGCGCGGACCCGCGCGCGCATGTCGACATCACTCAAAAGCTATCGACCTTTCAATTTCAAGACATTGCTCTTCAAACCTAACCAGCAGCGCTGTGCTTCCAAGAAGGCGCTGCTGGATGTCTTCGCGTGCACATAAGACAACAGTTGATGTTCAGCCATGATGCCAGATGAAATTATGCAGTTCAAACGCGCGGGAATGTCGGAAACAATCGGCAATCATCGCGCGAGCTGTTTCCCCTCCGAGGGAACAAAAAAGATCTCAAGCGGCACCGCCCTCCGTCAGAATGTCGCCGCGGTCGCCACGCCCGACGCGCCTCATGCCAGGGCCGCGCTCCGCGCCGGCCGACCTGGGCGGCAGCCGGGGAAGAGAAGACATCGGCACTGAGTCGCCATGCAGAGCGTAGCGTAGCGGTGATGCACAAGAGAATGGGCCAGCAGAAGCAGAGACAGCACCGAGCAACACGAACATCGGCATCGGCGGCGGCAGTAGTTGCGGCTGTGATCGCAGTGTCAGTGAAAGTCTCATCCATTGTGGCAATGGCAACGATGATGACACTGGTGCTAAATTGTGCAACTCCCGGCCATCAACGATGACACGATCATGAATCTGAGCGGACTGTCTGATAAAGAAGCGGGTGACGACGCAAATCACGTGTGACCCCCGCGGCACACAACCTGACGGAGAGACCGCAATGGGTCCTCGAAGACACAACTCGCCGCGGCTGCTCGCGGGCCGCGGCTGCGGGGGCGCCTTGTCGTCGTCGTCGTCGTCGTCGTCGTCGTCGTCGTCGTCGTCGTCGTCGTCATCGTCGTGTGGACTTGAGGCTCAACGTGCCCCGCCGCAGCTCTCGCTGTAGCGACGTCGTCACTCGGCCGCCGGAGGGAGAGGAGAAGAGCGCGTGCGCGTGCCACCCGTCTCGCGGTTTGGCTCGCACTCGCCCTCACCCTTGCTCGGGGGAGCACGGCTCGTGCTCGAGCGCACGCGTCAGAAACACGTTTGGGAGTTGCGCACGCGCGCCCCGCCTGTTGTTCGGCGCGCGGGGGGGAGGAGCAGTGTACCATCTCTCTTGGTCCGCGCTCCCGGATGTGCCAAGCCAACGCTGGCTAGTGCCGTGCCGCGGCGCTCGACAGGGCAGCGGCTCCTGCGAGCGCCAGGACTGAGTCGTCCTCGCCTGGCTGCACGACCCTTACCAGCGCAGTGGTCCCAGCTGGTCGAGGCAAGCCCCAAGCCAATGCCAGTCAGACCCGAGTCGCAGGCCGATTTCATCATTCGCCGGCGTCGGGTCCAAATCTCCGAAATCATCAAACGTGCTATGCCGTGGCAGCTCCCGGACCGCATTCTAACGTATGATTTGAACTGAGTCGGCTTACTGAGGTCCTGAAGCCTGGAAAGGGCCCGCAGAGAAGTGCACATGAGCCGCCCAGCGTGACTCATCATGACCATGGGTGTCGGGGGGACGTGGCGGAATCACAACTTCTCAGGGCGGGGAAGCGGCTGGCGTCCTCCTGGTCTGTGCATGCCCGACAACGCCGACATCTCAGCTGCTCGATCACAGCTCGACGGCCCGATGGGGCCAGCACCGCACCACCTTCGAGCACCCTGCATGCACACTTCTCGGCGGTGCCCAGCGCGGATCCCTCCCCCCTCGGCTGCCTCCCTGCAGCGCCGCGCACGGCGGCGGCCGACCTGGGCGCCGGCAAGGGAAGGAGAAGACATCGGCACCGAACCGCCATGGTGAGCGCAACATAACGGTGTTGGAATCAGAGATCGGGGCAGCGGCAGCAAGAATCATCACCCAATCATGAACTCGAGCATCGGCAGCCGCAGCGGCATCAACCGTGGCAACATAGTCGCCGGCACTGCCGGTGCGGGTGGCACGTGCCTCTGGTGGCGTTCAACTTTAAACGCCAGCGCTGAGGTCGCCGCCGCGTCAACACGACACGAATATGTGGTACATAGTATGGGCCCTTAGGCGTCGGCGGCGGAAGGGGGTGTGGGGGTCTGCCCCGAATACTGAGATCGAGGGAGGAATGAGAGTGACTGAAATTGATGGAGGAGAAACAGGGAGGGAGGGAGGGAGGAAGCAGGGATGAGGGAGGGGCAATAAGGAAGTCTGAGGAGGAGCAGGCAAGCAGGCGAAGGGAGGAGGGATAAGGAGCAGGAGAGAGGGAAGACAAACGCAAGGAAGTTCTACTCATCCCCGATCGTCTGTGCCGTCGTCTTCGTCTTCCGCATCCTCATTCTACTCCTGCCACTGATGAACCCAATAGTCCCGCACAACAAATACACTTGAGGTCCAAACCAATTGCGCTTCTCTCCATGGGCAGAAGGTGGGAAGACACATACGTCATTCAAGAGGGACCATGAGGAGCATGAAAATAAGCACGAGGTAGTGATCAGTGGACGATGCACGATGACCCCGCCTCGGACCCACAGGGTCATCCCAGGACCAGGACAACCCCACAGACCCCGCGGCACCTGGACCCTCCATCTCTGTCCATACCATCGCGGACTCCCCCCTCGAAGCATTCCCAGAGCATTTGGCGCTATCTCAGCCAACAATTAGAGAATCGATGTGGCAGATATTTCCGAGGACCACACTGACACCCCGACGATCCAATCCCACAACTTTCCTCTAATTTGGCATTGGCCGGACATGACGCTTCAACTTGGGCTATCAAGATTCGCGATGTGACCGCATCAATGGAAACGCGAAACCTCGCCTTCTGACTCGTCTGGGTCCAAAACGACTCTTGCCCTTTGGTTGTAACACTCGGCAATAGCACCGTTATATGCGCTTTGAACGTCGGTCGGTAGAGCATCCCAATGTAAGTGGTGGCCCCAAGGATGCAGCAACTTGTCGCACTCGAGGTCGAATACGAGCTTTCCGTTGAATGATGGCCGCTGCGCAAATAATACTGGATTCTTGCACCGCACAACTAAAGGCGTCACGTCGAGTTCCGTGCGTAGAACCATTTGCTCACCCATTAGATCTGAAGATCGGTCGGCCTCTACTGTCTCAACATGAAAGACGGAGCGAGGACGACTTGCCCGCAAACTCAGCAGGCGCATGCAGATGGAGTTGCGGGATGCATCATTGGGAAGGGGTCCCATGGCGGCCTGGTAATAATTCAGGTCAAAAAAATGAGCGTGCAAGCCCAAGTCCACTGGTAACGTGCACGGGGGCGCCAGCCCACTGGAGAACCCGCGGGGGGCAACATTTCCTAGAGTGACCTTGCGCAGTACTGGCTGGTGGCGACAAACGACACCTGGCAATGTCTCGAAGAACTCTGTTGTGGCGTTGAGGATGCACAGCTCCTGCAGCATGGGTGATCTTGACAAGATTGCTCGAAGAGAGTTTCCATCAGAACAGATCGACAAGCGAAGCACTCTGAGCTGCGGAAGAGTCCAGTTGCAGGCATTCAGCCACTCCGCCGTTAGTGACCAAGGTGTGCCGATAAGGGTAATGCTTTCGAGTTGGCAGGCGGGACATATTGTTTCAAAGCATGGCCCGTTGGCAGACTCTGCTGAATACCCTTGCCATACCAGAGTGAGCCGGCGCAACATTTTGAGACGGTAACGGAATCGGATGTCTCCAGGACTGCTCACGACACCTCGCAAATCAAGCTCCTCGAGTAATGGCATGTCAGCCAGCGTGAACATTTCTGGTGAGTTCGGGCCTGGAGGGAACACCACCTGCATTGCTAAGACGCGTAAGGACACGCACGTCTCGAATTTCTCAAGCCACCTTAACACATCATGTGAAATCAAATCCCCGTCGTCAAAAAAAAAGCTCCATCCGCGCCGGCCCCGGCAAATCCTGTCAAGTACCTCCTGCACGGGCTCGACCAAAGTGAGTTCCCGGAGAGACACTGCTTCCGCCAAAAACCAATCCAGACAAGCGAGTCTTCCGCTCGTGATGCGGATCGTCTCTGTCATTTGGAACCTTTCAAAAAAGCGGTGTAAGCCATCCCGGCTCTTCCTCCGAATCGTATTCTG